TTTAATTTGTTGTACGCTGGTCTCACAATGCGTGGGGAAATAATTAAAGGGAGTTTATTTCAAATTATTATAGTTGCGTTTTAAAGACCGGCTGTGTTCGGCGCGCAATTTGGGGGAACCTTTCAACGTCTATTACTTGAAAAATATTGCGAAGAATATTACTACGTCGACTCGCCAGCAGAGGTCTATGGATATTCGTAAAGTTTCTCGCAAGTGCTGAAATACGCGCATATCTGTATATATAGAATCTCGATTTAAGAACTAAAACAGGCGTCTAAGGTAGGCTCCCACTACATTACCTTACTGATGAGTCCAGTAGTGGAAGCCGGGACGAAACGCCAACTTGTGATATTCTTCGCAATATACTAAAATTAGTTTTAAGTATTCGGTTGCGGCTGTTGAGGACTTTGTAAAGTCGAAACTGTCCGTATATATACCGGTATTATAATGAATTTAATATATTTCTAACATCTAGTATAAGCTCGACAATGTGTTCTTGACCTGGGAGGTATATTAAATTTAATTTGGAAATTTATTTGAGCGGATATTAATTTAATTTAATTTATAACCGGAAGTGTGAGAGAAAAAGATAGCTGACCTAACCTGTCACCTGTCGAAAGAAAACAGCGTGTCTGAATCTGAATAATCAACATTGGACGAAACTGGTTGAAAGCACATTAATCAAATAACGAAAAAAAAAAAAGAAAATAGCCTCGGTTAATCGATTATAAGTCAATACTTGTGCAAATTATAATGTATGTGCATTTTATTTCAGACTATGTGATTTATATAATGTGCCGTATTTCCAATGTAGCCTCAAAAATAATTTTTTGCAAATAAAATAGGTGAATAACAAATGTCTAATAGTTGCTGTGCTTTTATATATTTATATATTGTGACGTGACATTTTGTCAGTCACTCAGAAAAGCAGCATAATGCGAGATCCTGGGTTCTTCAGGGTCAACGGGCGAGCGCACAGGCGAATGTGCGACATTGGCTGTTTTCCAGCTAGGACACAGAAACGTTACACTGTGTAAAGACTTGTTGGAACGATAGAGCTCTAATTGGTAACACTGGCATACTACACGTTTGTACTTAGCTTTTTACAGTGTCAAGCAATGTAAAGGTGCTTTTTCATGCGCAGCACGCTGCAGCAGCAATTCGTTACTATTGGTTAAGAATTTTATGTAAGCTAGATGACGCACTTCCGGCGCAAAATACATTTTGCCGCAGTTCGTTGAAGTTGAACCGAACGAACAGCAAGCAGCAAGCGGCAAAATCGAGAAAGCGTACAATATGTCCGTCGTTTCATTATGAAAATATTATTTATTGCAATAAATATTAGGAAAATAAACGAAGAATGGCTTCGGATAAGGTACGAATGTTTGTAAATTAGATCATTTTATACTTTACACTTTACTTTTTCAAATTTGTGATAAAGTATAAAATGATCTAATTTACGAACATGTATCCGTACCTTATCCGAAGCCATTTTTCGTTTATTTTGCGCCGGAAGTGCGTCGTCTAGCTTACATAAAATTCTTAACCAATAGTAACGAATTGCTGCTGCAGCGTGCTGCGCATGAAAAAGCACCTTAATACTGGATTCACACTGCATCCGATTTTCGTCGTACGACGACTCTGCAACCAATCAGGAAACAAAATTTTGCTTCGTATTGATGATACGATTTTTCTGATTGGTTGCAGAATCGTCGTACGACGAAAATCGGATGCAGTGTGAATCCAGCATAACACTGTGTCACAGTTGGAACACTTTGTGTGAGACACAGTGTTACACTGTGTCATCTGTGTACACTGTTGGAAAACATCCATTATTATTTATTCTTTATTTCCTTTTGCGATTATTGTACCACTTATTTTTATTCTCTTTTTGCGATTATTGTATTATTTTCTTTCTTTCTTTTTTTGTCGCTATTTAGTTAAGTTTTAGTTAAAATTAAGACGATCCTAAGCTCGGATTTCACTATTAATCACGATCAAAGCCGGTGGCTATGTTGTGTCTCTGTGTTCGACCGCCTCACCTATCGCGAGAAGAAAGAAGACGTCGCCTGCGGCGAGGGAGACATTGCTGTCAGAGGAATTTGACTGGAATCACGGAAAGAGCGGCACACGCAGGTCGTATTATTTCACATTTGTTATTAATGTCGCTATTATTTGGTGGATTATCGCACCCTCATTGCAGACGCCTCGGAGAGAGACGTCAGCTGGGAATGGACTCAAAGGCAGAACCTCCGCCGAAGCACCGTGTCCCACAACGATCGATGAAGATCGTCAAGCGACAAGGAAGCATTTTCCGACTTTTGGAAAAGCGCGCCACAGCGTAAAAGGATCCGCGGGATTTGTCGCGGGGTCACGCGGTCGCGGCGAGCCAATTAGAGCAAGCTGAGGCCGATAAGAGAGGACCTGACGATCTGCGTGAATCCGCGGAAACTTCCGATCGGCACTTGTGCAGTGACGGACCTGACGAAAGGACGCAAAATCTCGCCAAAGCTTTTACAGAAGGTTTTCGAGAAGATTCTTTAAGGACGACCTGTGCTGTCGGCTCTCGAGGAAGCTCGTTGAAGGAAACGGCTGAGGAGGAAGATATTAGTGAGGCGAACGTTATTAGTTGTAT